AGCTGGTTCGGTTCGGCCGGGTCGGTTCCGGACCCGGTCCTCGGTTCTCGCTTTCGGCTCGCGGCCATCATGGTATTGTTGGTCAGGGTTGGTAGTCCTTGCCCGTGCCTGCGGCCTTGCCTGTGAGCGCGTAGAGCCACACGACACTGTCCGTGCACACCGCGGCCGTTGCTCTCAGCGGGCTGGCGGGCGCTGGTGCGCTGCAGCCAGCCCCTTCGGCTCAATGCCTGAAGTTTCGCGCGCGGTCGCTCACTGCGGCTTCGGCTCCTCTCATGGGCCTAGGTTGGCTACGCGTAAGAGAGCTCCTTGGCCAGAGCATCCCCCCATCACTGGCTTGCGCTCGTGGATTTGGCATCCCCGCGGTCCCCTAGAGCCGCGCACCACAGGTCACTCTTGCCTGGGGCCACTCTGGCGCGTAGCCGGTCTGGGCACTTGCCCACCTCTTGGGAGAGCGGGGCCCACTGTGTCGCCAGTGCTGTCTCTGACTGCCAGCAGTGCCCTGTGCATCTTGGGACGGTTTGGTTCGGTGTTGCATTTTGGGCAGCATGTCTCAGGAGGGAAAGAAACACACAGACACAATTAATCGTCGATTTCCCAGAAAATATGGGAAACTATGGGAAGTGGGGGGGAAGACAAAAGCCCAGAAGATATAGGAACATATGGGGAATCTGTTTATTTGTGTGTATTCATTTGTGTGTCCCAGGGCCCCTTCAATGTCCCCTCGCGTCGTGTGTTTTGTCGCGTTCTCTTTTTTCACTTGGCTCGTGCCGCGAACGGCACGCGCGCGCAGGCTACCACCATGCTTACGTTACGGGGGTAAACCTATTCCTTCCTCCACCCCTTTTCCTGCTCCTGCTTCCCCCCCCTCCTCCGCCGCCTCCTGCTGCTCGATCCTGCCCCTTCTCTTCTGCAATTTGGCTCCACTGCAGCGCCCCATCCATGCGTACTCCATACTTACATGTTTCCGCGTGCCCACGGCCCAGACGGACTTGACAGGCCGATCTGATCAGTTTGTCGATCGCCGCCAGTCTTGGTTTCGATCACCGATCAGGGTGAGGAGGAGGAGGAGGGGGAGGCGGAGGAGGAGGAGGAGGGACAGGAAAGCTTCTGACAAGTGAAAGTGGAGTGAAAGTGGAGCGATCGACTATCGGCATTCTTTGAGTTTTGGTCAAGCAGCGAAGGCGCACAAGTCTTGAAGCGTCATGTTCGGTGACAGCCTCTGCGCCGCGTAGCCTGGCCCTCCGGTTGGGGAGGGGGCAGAGGGTTGTGGAAGTCGATTAATGGAGAGGAAGCATGCTGCTAAATAATTTCCAGATGTCTAAAAGATGTATCAGGCATGTTTTAAATGCGTAGAAAGCATGTTTTTTTTTACAGATCTTAAACACATCTTTGATTCAATGTTAGGATCGTTCGAGTGTCCATTGTCATGGCATCCACAAGCAGGGGGTCAGAGGGGTCGACGGGGTGAGTGGGTGGCCTTGGTAGCCGCAGGATCGCGTCGAAGGGCGGGGACGGCTGCCTCCCTGGGCAGAACGAAAGGGCCCGTGGGCACACGCGCCGCGAAGGCCAGTGTTCGGTCTTGGATGCGGAGTCGGGCAGGCAACCTTTTGCCTTCCTCGTGGCCTTGGAGGAGGACGCTGCCGGTGTACGTGTCTTCACCTGGGGCACGTGTAGGCCGTGCAGCGACTGGGACGGACCAGCGTACGTCGCCGAGGCTCACCATCAGTGGATCTGCTTCCTTGGTGGTGTGAGGGCGGCGTCCTGAGCGCGTGTGCTCGTCCGCACGCCGCGGGTGTGTCTGATCCTTGGCACGATGGTGGGCCCAGGTCCAGCTGATGTTGTGTTGCCCGCGGGCGCGCTGCTGGAGGGCCTCGCAGAGCTCGGTGGGCTGCTCGGCGCGATCGCGGCAGATGCGTTCGAGCCCGGTGGGAGCTTCGGCGAGGAGCTGGTCGTAGGCCTGTGCGGCACGGTTCGCTCCTGCGTCTCGAGGGGCAGCAACGCGGGCACCCCTGCGGGCGTTCTTGGAGTCGGCGGCCTTGGTTCTCGTGGGCTCGTCGGAGTGCTTCGCCTTGCGGCCCGCCCCTGCGCAGCGGCCGCGGGAGCGGGGGAGCGGGCACGGAGGGGCTCTCTTGTGGGTGGGCCCCGGGCGCTTGTTCAGTCTCGCCAGGGCAAGTACCGGGGTGCCGAGGACGGGGCAGGGACACGGGGAGAGAGAAGTATCGGCTGATGACACGCAAGAGTGACCTTTCGCCCGGAGTGACCTCTGGTGCGGTCGCACTGGGGGATGGCTGAGCGCGATGCGATACCAGCGTCTTGCGCGCTCGGGGCTGGCCTCCCCGCGGCCCCCGAACGTCGCGCACAAAAGGTCGCTCTTGCCCAGGGCCACTCCTGCGTGCAGCTGAGAGGGAGAGGGAGGGCGAGAGAGAGTGAGAGAGAGAGAGAGAGAGAGACGGAGAGAGTGGCCGCAACAAACACCGCGCGTGCAAGGCCCTTTTCCAGA